AGCGGGCACCGGATCACGGTGCTGTGAGCTCCCAGGGAGCGCGCACAAGCAGGGAGCGAGGAGGCCACCCGCCCCTGCGCGCTGCTCCCGTCCGGCCGTTTACATACATAGTGCAAAGTGAAAAAAAAAAACTAAGAAGCGCACCAACCTTGCGCATTACCTCAGTAACCAAAATTTATTAGTAAAGGAATGGTACTCACAAACAGCGAATAAAAACAGGCATGTAAGTCCTCCAAGGGACTTCAGAGACAAGAGGCCAGCGCGAATCCCATCATGGGGGTAGACACTCAGTACAGCTGACGCGTTTCGAAGGTCGTACCTTCTTCATCAGAGCTCTGAGGAAGAAGGTATGACCTTCGAAACGCGTCAGAGGTACTGAGAGGGCTCTGAGGAAGAAGGTACAACCTTCAAAATGCGTCAGCTGTACTGTCTACCCACATGATGGGATTCGCGCTGGCCTCTTGTCTCTGAAGTCCCTTGAAGGACTTACATGCCCATTGTTATTCGCTGTTTGTGAGTACCATTCCTTTACTAATAAATTTTGGTTACTGAGGTAATGCGCAAGGTTGGTGCGCTTCTTGTTTTTTTTTCACTTTGCAGTATTGTTCAGGCTTCCCCAGCCTTGCTTTGGAGCTGCACGACCTTTCATGCTCTGGTGGTCGTTTCGTTTGGGTTTGATTTCACCTACTCGCCACTGGCCTGGGTCCTGGAGCGCAGGAGGAATCGTAGTTTATATACATAGGCCAGAGGGAAATGGTTAATAAAATGTCATTTTAAATTTGTCTCATCAAAGAAGCTATCTTTAGTAGATATTACAGCCGATCACACTTGTGGCATTTTTTCTACAACGAACATCAAATATTGTTTGCAAAGTTCTTCCCAACACTGTTGCAGGAGTTCCCACAAATGTATTGCACTTGTAGGTTGCTTTGCTTTCACATTTGTGTGCAGTTCATTCTAAACCAGCTCAATGGGGTTGAAGTGTGAGACTGTGCTGGCCATTTCATGATTTGAAATCTACTGTCTTGTTCTTTTCTTCTAAGGTAGTTCTGACACAGCCTGGAGGTATGTTTTGGGTCATTATTTTGCAGTAGGAAGAACCCCTGTCCAACTAGGCGTATTCCAGAGGGTATCACATGGCGCTGCAAAATGTTGTGGTAGTACATTTGGTTCAGGATGCCACTTACTCCAGCAAAAGAGCCCCAGGCCATCATGTTTCCACCTCCATGTTTGACAGTTGGTGTCACACCGAGGAACCATCCTTTCACCTACTCCATGGTGTACAAAAACCCTGTGTGATGAACCAAAGATCTGGATTTTTAATTCATTTGTCTTTAAGACCTTCTTCTAGTCTTCGTTAGTCCACTGGCAGTGCTTCATGGTCCAGGCAAGCCTCATTTTCTCATTTTGTCATCTTAGCAATGGCTTTCTTACATCGACTTGACCTGTCAAACCTGAGCAGTTGAAAGTAAGATTTCTTACTTGGATCAGTGTAAAGCTGTGCTTGAAGCTGCTGTCCTTTTGAGCCGCTTGTCACGCAAGCTGTTGACTCTCAGAAACTTGTGTACTGATTCTGCTCTGGATTTGGGTCTGCCAGACCTCCTGCTGTCAGTTTCCTTCAGTTTCCGAGTGCCTTTTGATGGTGTAGGAACCATACTCACTGACACGTTGGCTTTCATTGCAATTTCTGTAAAGGAAAGACCTGCACTTTTAAGAGTTTTATATCGGTCTGTCTGCCTTCCTTTTGTTAATTGCCTTTTTCTTGCCATTTTGAGAGCAATATTACTCCCTGCAGTACAATACTGTCCAAATATTGCTTAGGAGGGTGTAGTACAGGGGTGGGCAAACTTTTTGACTTGAGGGCCGCAATGGGTTCATATATTGGATCCGGGGGCCGGACCAAGAGTAGATGAATGATGTGTATGTGTCATCCATAGTAAGTATAGTAATATTCCCCCATAGTAAGCATAGTAATTCATCCCCCATATAGTAATTCATCCCCCATATAGTAATTCATCCCCCCTATAGTAATTCATTCCCCATATTAATTCATCCCCCATATTAAGTCCCCAAGTCCCCCTGTGTCAATTTACTTACCTTTGCTCCGCGCGTTCCTCTCGCCGTGTTCCCGCGCCGTTCCGGTCTTCAGGGCGGACTGTGAGGGGAGCCTAGCTCCCCTCACGTTCGTCACGCTGCCCCGCCTACACACATTCTGACAGCCATCCTGACAGTATCGCGCTCCGCGGGCCGGATTAAAAGGTCCGCCGGGCCGTATGCGGGCCATAGTTTGCCCATTGCTGGTGTAGTAACACAGTCTGTTTCAACACTGCCGATTACTTACAAGCTGTCTGTATAAAAAACAAACATCATTGGGATACCTGTTGGAATGGTTGGCATAAACTTTCAATGCCTAATTTTATATTGCTGCAGAACACCTGGGAGTTGTTAACCCATTACTTCTTCTCTAAAAAAGGCCTTTTGTGCAACTCTGCAATGTATATTATTTTTCAGTTTTTGTTAACATAAACCTTTTTTTTTTTCCAACATTTGGCAGTTGATTGCTTACCTTTTTTACCATTTCAGGTTAATAATGGGACTAGAAATGTTTAAATTTCAATAAAAATTGGAAAAATAGGGGTGTCCTAAAACTTTTGACCGGTAGTGTAAAGGAAAAATATAGGAAAAAAGAATTGTATTCCTGTCCATCCAGTTCAAAGATTTCCACAGCTCTGTCACACTGTACAGTCCTATCTAGCAGGGCAAAAGCCCTGATTTTACTTTCTTCTTGTTCAGTAACAAAATGATAAATGGTTTTCAAATTTTTTTACGAATATCTGAAAAGTGTGGCAGCGTTTGTAATCAGCCCCCGCAGTCAATACTTTGTAGGACCCTCTTTAGCTGCAATTCCAGCTGCAAGTCTTTTTGGGGATGTCTCTACCAGGTTTGCACATCTAGAGATGGACATTTCAGCCCATTCTTCTTTGCAGAATCGCTCAAGCTGTCAGATTGGATGGAGAGCGTCTGGGAACAGCAATTTTCAAGTCTTGCCACAGATTCTCCATTGGATTTAGGTCTGGACTGTGACTAGGCCATTCTAACACATGAATATGGTTTGATATAAACCATTCCATTGTAGGTCTGGCTGGATGTTTCGGGTCGTTGTCCTGCTGGAAGGTGAACCTCCGCCCCAGTCTCAGGTCTTTTGCAGACTTCAACAGGTTTTCTTCTAAGATTTCCCTGTATTTGGCTCCATCCATCTTCCCATCAACTTTGACCAGCTTCCCTGTCCCTGCTGAAGAAATGGATGTGTTCAGGATGATGCGCAGTGTTAGTTTTCCACCACGCACAACGTTTTGCTTTTAAGCCAAAAAGTTCAAATTTTGGTCTCATCTGACCAGAGCACCTTCTTCCACATGTTTGCTGTGTCCCCCACATGGCTTCTCACAAACTGCAAACAGGACTTCTTATGGCTTTCTTTCAACAATGGCTTTCTTCTTGGTCCCTCCCTTTCTTCCATAAAGGGCAGATTTGTGGAGTGCATGACTAATAGTTGTCCTGTGGACAGATTCTCCCACCTGAGCTGTGGATCTCTGCAGTTCCTCCAGAGTTCCCATGGGCCTCTTGGCTGCTTCTCTGATTAATGCTCTTCTTGCCCGGCCTGTCAGTTTAGGTGGACGGCCATGTCTTGGTAGGTTTGCAGTTGTACCATACTCTTTCCATTTTTGGATGATGGATTGAACAGTGCTCCGTGAGAGATATTCCAAGCTTGGGATATTTTTTTATAACCTAACCCTGCTTTAACCTTCTCCACAATTTTATCCCTGACCTGTCTAGTGTGTTCCTTGGCCTTCATGATGCCGTTTGTTCACTAATGTTCTCTAACAAACCTCTGAGGGCTTTACAGAACAGCTGTATTTATACTGAGATTAAATTACACACAGGTGGACTCTGTTTACTAATTATGTGACTTCTGAAGGCAATTGGTTCTACTAGATTTTAGTTAGGGGTATCAGAGTAAAGGGGGCTGAATACAAATGCATGCCACACATTTCAGATATTTATTTGTAAAAAATTTTGAAAACCATTTATCATTTTCCTTCCACTTCACAATTATGTGCCACTTTGTGTTGGTCTATCGCATCAAATCCCAATAAAATACATTTACGTTTTGGTTGTAACATGACAAAATGTGGAAAATTTCAAGGGGTATGGATACTTTTTTTTTTCAAGGCACTATACATTTGACATTTTTCTAAAAGAACTATTAATATGTAATGTTTTCATTGATGTCCAGCCTTTTGTCATCTTCTTTGCCTTTGGTGTTATGCGAAGTGTAACCCACTCATTGAAGATGTAAAAGCGTGTTTAACCTTAAACTGCGTAAAGGGTTCTTTACTGTCAGAGCAGTAAGGATGTGGAACTCCCTTTCACAGTTAGTGGTGTCAGCGGGGATTGTTAATAATTTAACAAAACTCTTAGATAGACATCTAGGTGAATGCAATATTCAGGAATATAGTAGATCGTGTTAATTTAAAACACACACCCACACAGGCATGTTCCTGATTGAGGCCTATACAGCAAGATGGGTAGGTGTATTAGCCAAACACAGGTCCTCATTTTGAAGTTCAGCCACACATATGGCTGTTTATAAGTGTGGGGACCCCGTAGTGACTTTTATATGGGATATATGCAGGAAGTGTGTTCTTTTCTAAGACTTGCATTGTTTTCATTAAATCATATGTTGTACTTTTGCTCCCTTAGACACTGCTGGATGTGTTGAATCCCATTCTAGAAGAGAATCTGAGACTGATCGCTGAGGGGGAAGAAGGTCCTCCCAAACTGCAGTGCCTCAAGTGCAAAAGTGAATTCACCCACCAGGACGACAGTGGCGTTGTTTTCAGTTGCGAGGGAGAAGGGCAATCACAGGACAAGATGTCGCATGGTCTGCACAATAATCACTCAGGTAATTATAGGACCGCTGTGCTATCTGCTCACATCATGCAGCCTACTGGTTGGACGGATAAAACTGTATGGGCTCTATTATAGAGACTCACTCTGACATTGTTCACAAAAACTTTGCTGTCAGCCATGACGCCTTCCTCTGCTAAATAAATAAAAACATAAGCGTTTTTTTTTTTTTTTTTTAAACTGTTTACACATGCTGTGTGAATGGGAACACATAACAAACACATAGTGTGGTTTTTCCAAGTTTGACTGCAAATGTGGAAATATGCTTTAAGCCTGTGCAGGGCAAGTTCGTTTTCTGTGACTGGGTGATGCTGTGATCTCTCTGAAGGCTCCCGGTCTTTCTCTTTAATTTTGAGAAGGTAGCAGTGACAGACTTGCATCTTGCTGCCTTCTGTGGGTAGGTACAGCAGCCCTTTGTGACCTGCCTACAGGCAGTAATTGGCAGCTTGGGGTTGTAGAGGTGACTATGTGGATGTTTACTAGGAAGTAAGGAACACCTCTTAGTACCGCCCACATGCACCCCTACAATATCACTGTTTCCCAATTGATTATTGGGAATCATAGTTTTTATTTCCCCCAAGTAAAGACATCAGATATGTCCCAGTATACACCCGATCAGCCATAACATTATGACCACCTACCTAATATTAAATAGGTGCCCCTTTTTCTGCCAAAACATCCCTGACCCGTTGAGGCATGGGCTCCACTAGACCTCTGAATGTATGCCGTGGTATCTGGCACCAAGCTGTCTTTAGCAAATCCTTTGTTATTACAAAAAAAAATTGCATTTACAATCACTTCAAACTGGTTTAAACTTGCATGCTTTCTTCAATGGAATTGCACAGAGCAGCCCCAACCCTCCTCTTCTTAGGTCCCCCACCAGCGTTCCTGGCTCCTCCTCTTCTCGGTATGCCACCATATGAAGCCGCATCCTATCACGGCACACCTGTGGGCTCGATCCTGAGCCATGCTGCCTGTGTCCATAGTCAGACAGTGTGGATCTGCCCCGCCCCCACTCCCTCATCATAGGATTTAACTAATAGCAGCAGGAGACAAGCCTGTGAGACCGGCGAAGAGGAAGAGAGCTGCTACAGATGGGCATAGCGCTGGATCAAGAGAGAGGTCAGGTAAGTATAAGTGGGAGGGGGGGGGGCTGAGCAGGCATACTATCTAAACATTTTTTTAATGTAAGGTATTCAGTAGGGGTAAATAATGTTTAGGCTTTAGAAACACTTTTAAGTCCTGTAATTTGCAAGGTGGTACCTCCATGCATCAGACTTTTTTCCAGCACATCCCACAGATGCTCGATTGGATTGGGATCTGTAGAATTTGGAGACAGTCAACACACTGAAGTCACCTTCTTCCATTGCTCCATGGTCGAGTTCTGAAGCTCATGTGCTCATTATAGACTCTTATTGCTGCAGCAGGGGCCAACATGGGCAGCTTGATTGGTCTGGGTGACACCCACCGAACAAATAAACTGCGATGCACTGTGTATGACACCTTTCTGTCAGAACCAACATTGCATTTTTTAGCAAATTGAGCTACAGTAGCTCTTCCATTGCATTGGACTACATGGGCCAGCTCCCCAAGTGCATCAGTGAGCCACAGCCACTCATGGCAGTGTTACTGGTTTGCTGGGTTTCCTTCCTTGTACCACTTTTGGTCGATCCTGACCACTGCAGACCGCGAACATCCCACAAGAGCTGACCCAGTCATCTAGCCATTAGTTTGGCCCTTGTTCATTGTTAATCAATATTATTCAGTTTACCTTTCAGTGGTCATATTGTTATGGCTGATTGATGTAGGTTTTCCACCAGGTGCCCCGACGCCGCACAGTTACCGGAAGAACAGAGAGACTTCATAAGGCAGAAAATGCAGAATAATTTCAAATTAAGACTTAAAGTATAAAGTTTAGTACACATGATCAGATGAAAAATACCATTTTCGACCAGGAATTTACAATAATCTGATTGTTAGTACACAGTTTTCGTCCAAAATGATTTGAAGGAATAAACACAAAAAATTTTTTCGTATGATTCCAGATCGTACGATTTTCATTTGATCGGTACAGTATTCATCTGAAATAAATTTGAAGAACAAGACCACGCATGCTCAGAAACGAAAGAATACATTACAATACAACATATTCCATCACTTCCGAAGTTGTATTCTGTCATACGAGAATTTTCAGAACTTTAGTAATCTTAGTTTTCAATATGAGACTAAAACAGACGATCATTTGTCCAATATTCTCATCGTGTGTACCAGGCTTTAGTTCACTTTTTAAAAAACAATAATAAATCCACATATATTTGCAGGTAAAAAAAAAGTATGCATTTTTATAATTTTTTTTTTTTTTTTTTTTTTGTGCGCCCACCCACAGAGCATTGCACCCACAATCAGCAGATCATGGGTGCAATGTCAGGCTCCTACAGAATCTCAGTATAGCTGTCTGCCCGTACCTCCCATACAGACAGACAGTTACTGGAGAGCAGGAAGTTCGATGAACTATGAGCGCGCTTATGCTTGCAGGTTATTGAGAACTACAAACTGTCTGCTGCAGTAGCAGATGGTAGTTGTAATTATTCATTCAGGGATCATTGCAAATGAATGACACGGCCATATCGGTGGCACATGGGGAATCAATGGGGTGCAGGCAGGTGCTTTTTGGTAACATGTTACACCCTAAATACAGGTGTAACATTTTACCAAAGGTGAACTTATCCTTTTAATTTAAAAAATGTTGAAGGTTTTTTTTTTTAATTTGTATGAGGATAGGGAGATAAGAGTGCGAAGAGGTTTGGATCCGGATGCTCAGCTTTTACAGATGTGTTATTCACTGTTGCTTCATTGCACTAAGCAAGTATGTTCAGTTCTGAATTCATCTGATGAACCAGTAATTAATAGCAATGATCCACTAGATAATACTGTGCATTGTGATCTTTACATTTCTCATCTTCTATCACTGTGTCATATAATTGCTATGGTTCCAGCTTTCTATCACATGTGACTATGGATCCGCCTTTGTAAAAAAATAACATAATCTGCCATTTATCTGCAGGCTTGGAAATTACAGGTTGTGCAAAACTGTCATTTTTATATGAGACTGACTGCATTGTTCTCTGTGCATCTACAGATCATACTGGCTGCCCATCCTGCGGGAGCTTCCACGTCATCTTGGCCCCGGTAGACCAGAACAGCAGCTCCAGCACGCCAACGCAGTCCTCTCCACCTGAAGGCACTGAGAGCAAGGGGCAAAAGTTCTTTCTGGGTGGAGATGACAGAGACAGTTCAGAAACCAGCAGCAGCAGCTGTCTGGGTGGTACTGACAGCATATTGAATGGCACAACCACATCAGATGCCAACATTACCGGCCTGACTGGAAGTTATAGATCTTTCACTACGACCCCTCCAGCCAGGCATGATAGCATGGTGCTCCAGGACAACTGGCAAGTTAGTCCAAGTGAGTTATACCGAACTTTAGAGGGGTTTTGTTTTTTTATTGTGGGAATATAAAACAGTGCAAGAGCAGTAAGGATGTGAAAAGTGTAGCATCCCATCGCAGGTAAGTAATTGTGATAATGGTCAAATTCCAGCCTTTGATCCAGCATGACTTTATCATCATATTCAACACTTAAGCCAGCCATAGATGGATCAAATCTTGGCTGTTTCAGCAGTGACCGGCCAAGATTTGATCCACCTGTGGGCAGGTTGATTGTACCAAGTTGACCCATTGATTGACTTGGGTGCAACCAGCATGCGATTATTGCCAGCGGCTATAACCGCTAGCACTAATCATTGTGTTCAATCATTTACCTTAGATTGTACGCCCCTTGAGGGTTAGGGACTGATGTGAATGTACAATATATATGTGTAATGCGCTGCATAAAATTGATGGCGCTATAGAAGTACCTGAAATAAATAAATTTATGATGTAATGACCAACTAAGGGTTGCAAACACGGAAAGAGAGGGCTGTTTGTGACCTGAAGACACCAGTTTGAAGCTCCTAAATAGGAAAAATATGTGATGTGCTTCGACTGCTGAGCACATTTTCTGTGGACTTCATGAGAGGATTCTTTTATGGATTCCAGAATGCACCGAATATTAAACGTTTAACTCCAGGCCAGACTGATGAGTGTGCAGCTAAACATACATTTACTTTAGTGATTTCTGCAGCTGGAGCAATTGCTGTACCAGTCTAGTGAGTCTGGGTTTCTGCCACCTGTATGGTGGTCTCTTGTAGAAATGAAATTTCAGTTTATTATAGTTGACTAGGTGAGGGGGGATTTTTAATTGGTTGTGGTGGTTTTCTGTGTTTGTATTTGGCCTATCTATATTTCTGCCTGTTTTTATTGTCATTGTCACTGTCATTATTGCAAGTCTTGCTTGCTTGGGAAGGTAGTAATATTGTATTTATTTGTGTACTGGATACTTTCTCACTTCCCTGTGTGTCTCCCTAGATTCTCTCAGCCCACACCAGACTCTGGATTTCCGGCTAGTGGATCACCGTCTAAAGTTATATCTCGATATGGAGATCCTAGTGGGGGAGATGGAGGAATTCCAATGTTATATGAAGGTGAGACCCTGCTTCGGGGAGGTGAGGTCAGGTTCTACACAAACAATTGTGCTAAATATGGTGTCAATGGCTTAGTGGCCTCCAGTTGCTTTGGAACTTAATGTAAACATGCCCATCCAGCAGCCCTTAAAGCTGAACTCTAGGTATGATATTTATTGCACATTGAATGCATATCTCATACCCGGGGGGGGGGGGGGGGGGGGTTTCGGGTGCTGGGGAATCTGGCAATAACTGTACTCCTACTTTAGAGACTATAGCAGCGATCTTCTAGGTCCTGTGCTGAGCAGCTACCCAAAGGGGGTAAATCGCTTTGCAAAAGCTGCCATTCATAGAGCGTCTTGCATTTTTTTTTTAGTGAATACAGGCAATCTCTGATTGGATGTAGTGGAAAGGAGGGGTGATGACAATACATCTTAGGCAGAGTACCCGATTGCGGCTATTGCTGTTGTAGTCCTGACCAGGGTGGATTTGATTTAAATCAAACTGATTTAAATCACAATTTAAATCATGATTTAAATCACTAGTCAGTAAGGCTTGATTTAAATCCTAGTTTTCTACATAAAGACTAATTCTTGCTGGTATAACTTTAATATACAAGTAGATGAAGATTTTTAGAATAACAACTTTCAATATTAGTTTTTTTATCCCCAGTTTAATCGGTTAATCATTCATATTTGGACAACTTTTCTGTTGTACTTAGGAAGGAGAAAAATAATCATTACCTTAATAATAACAATTTAAATAGATTTATTCAACTGAAACAATAACATTCCAGCATATGTGATTTGCTTAAACATCCATGTTTGGTAACTAATTTGGCTAAACAAAATATATATATTTTAAGAAACGTAGACTGTCAGCCCCTTCCTCCTCACACTTAGTTTCACTTTCTTCTTGTGCAGATCTATTCCACTCCAAACAATCAGAAAAATATTGTTTCTATTCACTGAACTTCTTGAAACTTAGCAGTGAAGGGGTTGATTCTGTATTCATAGGTTTGTAGAAGTTAGGATGAAGGTCTTTTTCTTAACTCTGTTCATGTTATAACATTTTTGCTGTGAAGAAGAGGCATGTGATCTCCGCTGAGTCAAATTCAGTTTTGAGAACTGCAAAAGTAAACCAACATCTGTGATAATATCTTGTAGGCAGAGAAACTGCCCAATAATCTTACAAAAACCTCTGGAAGAGTGTGACATTGTGAATGGATTCATGGAATTTATTTACCAAAAAAATTACACATATACAGCCTTATTCTACATAATTAAAAAACAAATCTTTATTTCATGATGGAATAACCTTTGGATGGTAATATATTTTCCTCAAAAAGCATTTTATTTAAAAAAAAATCTGATTTTTAAAAAAAATCTGATTTTTTTTTTTTAAATCATTGATTTTTATCCACCCTGGTCCTGACTACTATACGGATTGTCCGCTTCCCCAGCGGACCCTCAGGTATATGATACGCATTTTTACATTATGCCACACTGGACCAGTGTAAATATTTTAAAGGCTAAGTTTACCTTTTGGAGCATGTTAAATCTATATTTGGTGCGTAACATGCAACAGGCTCCTATGCACCTGTGACAGTGGGGTTTCTTCTCCCTGTACCCACTGTCACAATTTGAAAACAGCGTGGCCATGCAGGGCTCCACCCACACGGCTCCATCATTCATTCACAGTTTCCTGTGAATTAATAAACTACAAGTACCGTCAGCCTTTGCAGCTGACGGCTTTTAGTTCTCAATGAACTGTGAGGGTGCTGGTGGGGCCATTCGGTGACTGTAACGGGAGATACGAGCAGATGGTGTACTAACAGTCTGCAGGATACTGGCATTGCACCTGCGATCTGCTGATTACACGTGAATTGCTTTACAGGCTGCAATGTAAAAAAAAAAGTTATGAATGCACATTTATTTACCTGCAAAAAAGATGTGCATTTATTTTACTAAAGGGGAACTTAACTAGTAGCCTCCATGGCGGTATTCCCGAGTGTAGCTCGGGGTAAAGTTTCAGTATCACAAGCGATAACCCCGAGCTACACTCGGGCTTACCATGCGGCGCTGCTCTGGGATCTGTTCTTCTCTTACCTTGTCCTGCGCTCCCGCGATGTCCCTCCTGCAGTGTCCCCTGTAATGTCCTTCCGGCCGATGCCGGCATCTGTCTTCTGGGTTCCATTCCCTGCGACGTCAGGACGTACGGGGACGGAGTGGCGGGAAATTTGAAAATGACAAAAAGTGACATTCACTAAATTCACTAAAATCACATAGTAAAACATTACTGTATCAAACCATTTCACATACATTTTGTCCCGAGTGCTTTGTCCTGCGCCCTGCCTGCATTTTTACTGTTCTTTCTGCCTGGAAGCTGAGAAACGTCCATGGCGTCCAAAAAGCGTCCCTTTAGGTCAAAAGTGGTTTTAGACCGGCTAGAGAACAGCGATAGTAAATCAGAACCACTTGCAGAATTGTGATAATGATTCGTGGGGAAATTCGCCATCAGACACTGAAAATGATTTTGCGACTTTGCTCAGTGATGTGTGAACTTGGAGCTATATTTCAAAATTCAGTGTTTTTGGTTTGATTATATTATTGAATTAAATTTATTATTATATTTATTTTTTATGATTATTAAATTATTATTTATGATTTCGTGTTTCAAATTTTAACATACCCGGGATGTTTACTAGACTCTTGTTCGGACAGATTTCAGTGAGTTATTCCTAAAAATTACAGGCCTACAATACAAAAAATACATATTTCCATGCAAAAAAAGTACCGCTTTGAGCACAGAAATATGGACATAATCAGACCGCTAGGGAGGTTAATAAACAGCTCAGCTGTAATGGTTCTGATTGATATTACAGGTTTGAAAACCTTTCCTGTATTTCTACTCTTAAGTTGGCATTTGGAGTTGTCTGACTGCACCTCCCTTCACTCTTTTTTGCTTGAACATGTACACTGGAGCATGCTGAATGTACATGTTTATGTATCCGCTTACCAATACACTTTCTTCTGGGTATACAGATCAAGCCTGTTAAATCTAATTTTCAAATACGTCTTTACCCTCTTTATACTAGTGGGTGATCAGTTGTGGTTTCTCTTTCAATTAATTTTTAATTAATTAATTTTTTTTCAATGAATCCATCATTTCTCATCTTTGTGTTTGGCTTAGGTACCTGTGGTTCGTTTTGGGAAAGAGGGGGCGTTTTGGGCACTTGTAGTGGTTTCTAATCAGAAAATCTACTTTCTGGAGATAACCGGAGAAACTAGGTACCTACCTGAATTCACGAGGAGGGCGTGGTGGGATATTGTCCCTTTTTTATGGTGCCGATTATATGATAGACTGACACTGATATGTTTTGCTACAGTGGTCCTCCCTCTGATTGGCTGAGTCCTGGAGAGGAACAGAACCTGACTTCTCTCACCCACCTGCACATTGGACTGCAGAAACAAACCTTACATCTTGGATTCAACACCCCTGAGGCGGCCTACACCCTGCTCACCCGGAACTGCCACTTCAGCACAATATTCGCAGAGAACATTCTGGGTGGGACAACAGTCAGGAAATTCTTGGTTTTTATGTTTTTAGTTTAAATCTTTTGAAAGTGATGATAATTTTGAAACCTTGACTAGAGATAATGGAAGCTGAGACGTCCAGACCAAATTTAGCTGCATCCTTATTAAAGCAGACCTTGCACTAGCCACAGTGGATCTTGAAATTGGAATTGAGGTTTGCAAATACTTCTGCTCCAATGTTCTGATATCAGCAAAATAATGTGCTTCTTTTGGGTGCCAGGGCTCTGTCTGTCTTGATTGGCCAGTGTAGGCTGACATTAACTTCCGTGCACGTGCAGAAGTTCATCATCCCTGCAACAAGGGACTGTGCCTAGAATCTATGAGCTGCACATGTGCAGCTCAGTGTACATTCTAAAGAAGATGCAAACATACCAGTAGGTTTATTTTCTTGCAGAGGAGACATAGCATTTCTCTTCTGCAATGAAGATCCTGCCTGCTTTTAGTTTTTTAGTTTTTACCTTCTAGTTCTGCTTTAAATATACTGTCTCCGGAAGATTCATTTCAACAAAAATCCTCCCACAGGATCTTGATGCAGGATTTTTGTTACAATTCGTCTGGTAACTGTCTCTTTACAGGGGGAGCTAAAGGTAAAAATATTTAATGTATTTTATGCATGCTATTTCCTTGTAAAAGCCTCAACTGTGCAGACATTCAAAAGCCCAAGACTGCTACTGGGTGACGCCATCTTGGATGTGATGCCAGCAGACTCATTTATTTATTTATTTCAGGTACTTGTATAGCACTGTCAGTGTACGCAGCGCTTTACATATATATTGTACATTCACATCAGTCCCTAACCCTCAAGGGGCGTACAATCTAAGGTCCCTAACTCACATTCATACATACACATACTAGGGACAATTTAGACAGGAGCCAATTCACCTACCAGCATGTCTTTGGAGTGTGGGAGGAAACCGGAGTACCCAGAGGAAACCCACGCAGGCACAGGGAGAAACTCCAGGCAGGTGGTGCCATGGTTGGGATTCGAACCAGTGACCCTAGTACTACCAGGCAGAAGTGCTAACCATTTAGCCACTGTGCTGCCCATTAACACCATAGTATTCCCCTTTGTTTCTCCCCCAAACTTCAATATAAAAGGTTACATATATGGAGGTGACGAGTGGAGCTGGGACGGCACAGACAGTAATTAGACACTCCCAGAAGAGGAAAGGGCTATAAGATGTAAATAGGGAGGGGCTGTGCTGGGGATTGACTTTTCCTGGTCCAGGCACATTTTCTATTCACTCAAAGACAAGTGAATAAAAATAATTTATGGAAAGGAAAAACCCTGCACGCAAGCATTTAGAAAACTGTATTTGCAGTGTTTTAAGTTTGTGACAGGTTCTCTTTAACACACATTGATAAGGTTGGCAAATGGATCTCTTTTATATGCATATCTTAAAAAAAAAAAAACACACAAATAACTAAACATTCATTTTAAAAACCTGAAGAAATCTAAATTTGTTTCTGAATTGCAGATTCAATGTTTGAGCTTCCCCCACGTTATCGCAGTGCTCTGGACCACAGCGTCGATGAGGGAATCATGCAGGGGCATCATCTTTGGTAAGTAAACTATTCATGTTGTCTAAACTTATGGAGTCTATAGACAATCACACATTTTTTGATGGATCTCTAAACCCAAGAAGAAAAAAATGCTCTATTGCAGTTTACCAGTCCATAGCTGTGCTTTTTCTTATTTTACATATAGGAAAATATCTGTTGATCCTGCCAGAGCTCCTGTGTCCTTTCAAACTTCCTGTGCACTGAACTGAAATATCAAACATTGTTCTCATCCATTCCAGTTTTCTTCTTGGAACTACAGAACACCTGAGGAATGGGAGAGTTATTTGGTCTTGTCCTCGGGTTACAAGGCTGCTCCTCCTCCACAGATAAAATACAGTCAGTGAGCGTTGTTGCCCTAGGACAAAAATCTTATTCACAGGATTGCCAGGTGAAAATAAAGGGGGGTGGGGGGAAGAAAACAAATGCAGCTACCACATCTAAGGACTGGTTAGCTGATTGATATATATATATCAAATTTTTTTTTTTTTTTTTTTTTTGTTAGGGTTTGGATACACTTTTTAAAATATTAACAGTAATTGATCAGATCATGTACACAAGAAGGTGATCATTTTTATATTGCTGTCTGTAAATAATGAATAGGACTATAGTTCACCTTTAACTGTATAATAAAAAATGTAAAACAAATTTGTATACATTACTATTAAACTATTGCAGCAGTCCGATACTTGTACAATGTACCACAATTCATGTATAATAAAATGTAAACGGACCACGCATCAATATTTAACATATAATAATGTGCACATATATCAAACAATAACATACAACATAAATTGCCTTTAACAAAGTCCCAAATAGTGCAACGAGTGCTTGTGCTCCACTTAATTGAAGTGCTTAATTTCTTCAGTTAAATCAAAGTGCTCCATCCTAGATTGTAAGCTCCCAGGATCAGGGCCCTCCTATCCCTCTTGCATTGAACTGTATTGTTGCTGTATTGTCTCCCGTTATATTGTAAAGCGCTGAGCAAACTGTTGGCACTATATAAATCCTGTATAATAATAATAATTGTGCTCAACAAGGTGCCCCACATGGACTAGAAATCATAACCATCTATTTCTAGAGTGGTCTAAAATGCTTGTGGGGCATTAGGCTGTGAGAACAATAAGGCTGAGTACACCAGATGCCGGGCATAGGCACTTTATTTGTGAGTGAGATTTTTTTTTTTTTTTCACATTTACCCCCCCCCCCCCCCCCATTTCTGTGCTAATACTTGCGGAGATATGGAGACCACTGTTACATTGGGGAATGGCCCCACAAGCGTTTTAGACCACTCTAGAAATAGATGGTCATTGGCTGAGTTCTATTTCATGTGGGGCACCTTGATGAGCACAGTGGAGCAACTTTGACTTTTTAACTGAAGAAATTAAGCACTTCAATTAAGTGGAGCACAAGCACTCGTTGCAATATTTGGGACTTTTTTAAAGACAATTTATGCTGTATGTTATGGTTTGATATGCATGCTCATTATTATATGTCCAATATTGACCCGCGGTCTGTTTAAATGTTATACATGAATTGTGGTACATTGCACACGTATGGGATTGCTGCAATAGTTTAGTTTTTTACAAATATTCTTTTCCATTTTTATTATACAATTAAAGGTGAACTATAGTCCTATTCATTATTTACAGACCGCAAGATAAAAATGATCACCCTCTTGTGTACACGATCTGATCAATTACTGTTAAAGAAATGAAAAAAATATTTTTTTAAATATTACGTATCGCACGTCCAGTAGCGCATGAGCATTGTTTGGAACACCTCTAACTGTAGATTGATGTTATAGCAGAGTTGACTCCTTTTATTGTCCCCTCTACTTGTTATCTGAAGTGCACCTGCCTTACAGCCCTTTCCTTGTATCTTGTCTCTGCTGCAGGCATCTCCTACATGATAACCTTGAAGAAGGCAGCGGCGGCCCGAGTGAATATCACTATGCGCTGGCGTATTTCATGCAAGGTAAATGTTTTATCATACAAGGTCTCTACACCTGTGAGGTTCCATCCATAACCTCTTCATGGTCACTTACTTCTGCCTCTCTCACTACAGAGTAAATGGGGAATTTATATTTAAATAAAGCTTTCTGATTTGTAATAATAAAGCTTACGCTGTTAAAACTCCAGCTTCACTCTGTAACCATTTTTTAGTTTAAAGCGGAACTAAAGTGTAAAATTAAAAGGATGCGAGCAGGCAGGCTTTCTATTGTACAAGAGACATGCAATGTTTCTTCTGCAATAAAATAAACCTATCTGCTTGCTCGCAGTCTTCTTTAACCTCTTCACACCGGCCGAACACAAATGTGTGGCCTCCCTAGACGCCGAGCACGTTTGCATTCTATTAAAAAAAGGACATGTGTGCCGAGAGTGCGCGCTCCCAGCGCACATGTCCAGTACTCACGGAAAGGTCCCGATCTCCTCTCTTTCCATCGGGACCTTTCCCGATCATGACCGTCACGGCGGTCACATGACCCTAAACCAGCAATGGGCAAACTACGGCCCGGCGGACCTTTTAATCCGGCCCGCGGAGCGTGATACATTGGCTGTCAGGATGTGTGTAGGCGGGGCAGCGTGACGAACGTGAGGAGAGCTAGGCTCCTCTCTCAGTCCGCCCTGAAGACAGGAACGGCGCACGAACACGGCGAGAGGAATGCGCGAAGCAAAGGTAAGTAAATTGACACAGGGGGGACTTGGCTTACTACTTGGGGGGGGGGGGGGGGGATAGTACTATGGGGAATGAATTACTATAGGGGCGATGAATTACTATAGGGGGGATTAATTACTATATGGGGGATGAATTACTATGCTTACTATGGGGGAATATTACTATACTTACTATGGATGACACATACACATCATTCATCTACTCTTGGTCCGGCCCCCGGGTCCAATATATGAACCCATTGCGGCCCTCAAGTCAAAAAAGTTTGCCCACCCCTGCCCTAAACCCTGCCCCGTCTTCTGAAACTCTTAAGGGGCCGGGGGGCGCCGGCGTGAAGGGGTTAAAATGTACACTGAGCTGCTGCGCCTGCAGTACAGTTCTTGCGTTGTGGAATGATGGAATTCCTTTGCTGCAGTGACTTCATCCCACACTAGCCAATTCTAGGTGGCCAAAGACTGGCACCCAGCTGAGGCAGTGGCGAAGATGCCAGCGAGTTCATCAGACTTGAAGCAGAGGTAAGTATTTGTGGACTTTAGTTCCACTTTAAGCCTTTTTTTGGGTGGGGGGGCTCCCCTCACACTTCTGTGGGCATACAGAAGGGAGAGTGTTCAGAGTAAACATTGCCGATAATGCGAGTTTGCATACTCGTATATATTCAGCCAGCTTTTTTTTTTTTTTTCTTTTATGTTTTTGATTGTTACCCCTGTCAGGTTTAACTGATATTTTCTGTTACAGATATTCCCTCTTACTCTTTTTATCTCAGTAAGACAAGGACCACATTATGAGCTGGGGTGTGTGGAGGCAGGTCTAGCCTTTCCCTAATTTATTAAAAAGAAATGTTTTTATTTCTATCTGTGTTGCTGTTTAGTGAAGCTGTTTTCACTGGGACAGTAAGTCGGGAATTCTCTCTCCCGGATAGCAGAAAAAAAGATTGGTCAGGGTTTCAAACCTTCCCCACTGTATCCAAGACTTTAAAATTGGTTGGACATGCACCTTAAGGTGGTTCTAAAGGCTCAAGGTATTTTACGTTTATGCATTCTATGTATGAAGGTAAAAAACCTTCTGTGTGTAGCAGCCCCTCTAACATTTACCTGAGCCCCCTCTCGATCCAGCGATTTGAGAGCCTCAGCTTTCCGGGGACACTCTCTCCTGATTGGCTGAGGCAGCAGCGGGAGCCATTGGTTCAATTACAGCCAGTGAGACAATCAAGAGAGGGAGGGGGCAGGGCCGAGTCACAGCTCTGTGTGTGAATGGTTACACAGAGCTGTGGCTCAGGGAGCGTGCCTGCTCGGTTGCCCCCATAGCAAGCTGCTTGCTGTGGGAAGGCATCCAACAGGAGGGAGGGGCCAGGAGCGTCGGCAGGGGGACCCGCGTAAATGAGGATCTGGGCTACTCTGTGCAAAACCACTGCACAGAGCAGGTAAGTATGACATGTTTGTTATTTTAAAAGAAAAAAAAAACCCCAATACTTTAGTATCACTTTAACAACCATATGAGCTCTTGTCTTCTGATTTAGATTGGAAGGGTGAGGAGGAGCTTGAAGTTGAACTTCACTCAAAAAGTGAAGTCCCATTGGTTCACTTCCTCCCCCCAGCCTGTAAGTGACCTCCCAGGTTTTTTTTTTTTTTTTTGTGGGGGGTGGAGGGAAGGCAGTATAAATTTTTGTCTGAACCAGCTCCCACTTCTGCAGTTCTCACCTAGGTGGAGATGGCATCCCTTGCCCCTTCCCCTCTCCCATCTTGCAGCCTCCTGGGACACAACACGTGTCCCAAGAGGCTGCAGGACCTTTCTTAAAGTGCCATGTGAACTCGCACCTGTGCAGTGGGAGCTGGCTGTGGTTCCTTAGGTAGCCATAGGTGGCTCCCATATCCAAAATGGTGGCGCCAGGAGCCCGGAACTGTAAGGAGAACTGATTGCAGGAAAATATTGCTGGATCCCAGGTTCTGGTAGGTACATGGTTTTTAAAAGTCAGCAACTACAGTATTTACAGCTAAAACCCTCAAATTCCTCTTAAAACAAAATGATGGCGTCCCACTTATCTGGGGATAGCAGTATCAGGAAGATACACCTGTCATTATTAAATAGATCCTATTCAAGGTAGCTCATTGTGGGGGGGGGGGGGGGGGGGTTCCCTTATTTTGCACAGAAGGCCAATGAAACGGTGGTATGCATACTGCACTATCCAATTTGAACCAAATTCATTAGTTAGGAACATAACGTAGAAAAAAAAATGCATTATTGATCAGTTGACACTTTGTACATTGCTTTTTTGCACCTTGTATAACCTTGTGTATCTAACCAGCTGCACTTTGTCTTTCAGAGGATGCGTCAACTGATAAACCAGCAAATTTGTGTGCGAATGACACCATGGTTCCACATAATACATCATCACCTGCAGCAAAGGCACAAGGCGCTGCGAATGCTACAGCGGTCACTTTGCTGCTCACCCATAATCATATGTACATCCTGGAGGAGACCCATCAGTGGCTTCACAATCCATCGCCTGCCGGAGAAGACACCGATCAGGAGCCCTTGGACAGGGTTCAGGTCAAGGAAAAGCAGCCCATTAGCAGCATCAGCTCTGTGCATCTGTACAGCTCTGCAACACTGCATCTCCGCATCCAGCTTTATAATGAGGTATGGGGCCCACAGACACAAACTGAGATCTATAGCGCAAAGCATTGGCTCCCGGAAACAAAAAAACATTCATATGTCCTCATACTATCAGAGTTTTAAAGGAAACCTGTACTGAGAGTTCTGGTAGCTACCACTGCTGACCTTCTCCAACTACTAATTGCCTGGCTGACTCTGGCTTCAGTAACCACCTGGAGCAGCGATGCAGATTAGAATTTCAAACTGAAATCGTTATTAAAGTTTTTTTGTTCTTACATTAGAAAGTATTGAAGTCCCTGAACATGACAGCCAGACAATAAGCTTTTTTTTTTTTTTTTTTAAAGGAAAGGTTGCCACTGGTAACCTATATATTCTCTCAGTCTAGGTTTCCTCTTAAGTGATCATGTGCTTTACCCATGCACTGCAGACAACAGGTTCACTTTAATGGCGACATACTTACATTTCCTTTGGTTCCTCGCCACTTTTTTTTTTTTTTTTTTAAGTAGGATTCTCTCCCCATCTCCATGTGGCAGCACTGGGTGCCTGAGCTGCTCCTTGCCAAGCACCAAGGCGTTCACATGCCTCTAACCAGTTAGTATTGGTTATTTCTCTTTGCTTCTGGCAGCTGAATCAAGTAGCTGTGGAGCAAGGGAAGAGAAGTATCGACTGCATATTATACTACCTATTCTATACTAGTAGTGATCAACAATAGATAGAGGGGACCTCAACTGTGGCCCCTGACATCTCCAGGGGACAGCACATAATAATATATAATGCTACAGAAGGTTGTCAGAAAATATGACATACTGCTGGAATCGGTCAGAGACTGTAAACAGGCTACAGGTGTGGTTGGAGAATAGAAATAAGCAGCAAGAGAACAGAACTGCTAAAGATCGCTGCCATTATAACCTCTTTTTTTTTAAATCCATGTTCCTACAATTGCCTGTGCAAAAACCCCCAAAGGGCCACATGCTGGGCAACAAGGTTCTAGGTAAAGGGTAATCTGACAAATTTAAAAACCAGAGGGTGGCCAGCTACCCAAGTATTGGGAGAGTTTACATGACACAAGTTCAACTTTTAATAAAAGCTCTGTAGTGCAAGAGCCTGACTGAACAACCCATTCAATTTATATCCAGTCAGGTAGATATGACCTAGTAGGTAAAAAAGTGAACTCCAGAGACAAAAGCCTTAATTTAAACATATTTCTCAATAGGCGCAAATTGTGTGTGTGTAGGTATGTATATCTGATTTTTGTGTGCGTGTGTATATGTATGTGTGTGTGTGTATGTGTGTGTGTGTGTGTGTGTGTGTGTGTATATGTATATATGTATGTGTATATATGTATATGTGTATATATATATATATATATATATATATATATATATATATATATATATTATAAATCATTCAGGTGTTCCAACCACCTCCATGGTTATAAAATCATGTGTATGAAATCAAGCACCTAGGCATGCAGACTGCTTCTACAAACATTTGTAAAAGAATGGGTCGCATGACTGGATTTAGACAATGTTTGCTCATCTCAGAGTTCATCTTTAATGTAGGGGAGGAGATTGTAAAAGCAAATTGTAATGCGTATGGCCAGTTTTACTCTTCTTAAGTCTATCCTAAACTTAAAAAAAAAAAAACAAAGACCAGTTTGGCTAAACTTGAGGTTTAAAATGTAAAGTGATAATAAAGGCAATAAAAAAACAAATGTCACACTTGAAACATAAATAAACAGCGCAAAAATAGATCTCTAAATCCAATCAAAAAAAATTATTATATAAAGTGCAAAATAAATATATCATAAACCATGAATCGATTGTTAATATCCCAGTAGTAATATTAAACACCAAAAGTCTGTGCATAATAAAAATTAGAGGTTCCAAAAATTCTTCAAATACAAGGACAACTTCCACCTTCCACCCATGCAAACCAACATCAGCCATCTTTGGGAGCTGTGTTGGTCTGTTTTGTGGATTCTCTGCTTTATCCTGTGGCTGATGTGAGATTCCTGAAAGAGGAGGCTGTGAAATGCTGGTTGAACGGTGGAGCCTATTAGGACGGTGAAGAATTCTATGGAGTGGATGCTAAAGAGGGTTTAGGATCCCTTTAAAATCCCTAAAGGCTTCTCACTCACTAAGTTTTGGTGAATGCATTTGATGTTGGTTTGCACGGGTAGAAGGTGGAAGTTGCCCTTGTATTTGAAGAATTTTTGGAACCTCTGATTTTTATTCTGCACGGACTTTTGGTGTTTAATATTAATACTACTGGGGATATTCACTATTAATTCATGGTTTATGATATTTATTTTGCACTTTATATAATAATTTTTTTTGATTGGCTTTAGAGATCTATTTTTGCGCTGTTTATTTATGTTTCATATTGTTTGTGTTTTTCACATTTGCACAGCAGCAGTTTAGATTTTGTAGTTTTTTGGCGCAGGAATAATTTTTATATAAAATGTCACAGTTACCTGCTCTGTGTAATGGTTTTGCACAGAGCAGTCCTGACCATCCTCTTCTCAGGTCCCCCAGCAATGCTCCTGGATCCTCTCTCCTGCCCAGTGCCCCTAGAGCAAGAAGCTTGCTTGCTCCCGAACTGCTGCTTGTCCGTGTCCATTCACACACAGAGCTGCTGCTCGGTCCCGCTCCCTCTCTCCTCATTGGCCAATGGCTCTCGCGGCTGTCTCAGCCAATGAGGAGGGAGAGACCCCAGAGAGCAAAAGCTCTCATGCACATCGCTGGATAGCAGCGGGCCTCAGTTAAGTATTAGGGGGGCTGGGGGCACTACTGCACACAGATTGTTTGTTTGTTTTTTTTTTTTTACCTTTATGTGTAGAATGCATGACGGTAACCTTGAGCCTTTGCAACCACTTTAATACATTCTATGTGGAAATTATTGGTGTACACCTGGCTTAGGTACACACTAGCAAAAAATGTTTAGAAAAAAAAGTGTTTATAAATCATAGTTTGTCTACAAATAGCTTTTACAGGGTTATTTTTCTATTTATTTTGACTCTGTCAGCACAAGGCCACTTCTACAAAAAAAAAAGGAAAGCACACCTTGTAGAAGAAGCATTGATTTACTTACCTTTCCAGCGGCGGTTCAAATTCCACTGATAGACAAGTCAAATGGAGGGAGAGTGGATCCTGCTGGCTTGTATGTCACTACAGGGCATGACAATAAATTATAGGGTGTAAAACTTACCCTGCATCCAACCTCCTGTCATTACCTGGTGCCTGTTCTTCTCTGCATTGAAGGAACTGATATATCCCGGATCAAAGGGGCAGGCCAGGGACAGTAGGGCTTGGGAGGAAAGAGCTAGGCAGTGCTAGACATTCTTCATCCAAGGAATGAGTGCAGGAGAAGAGCTTCGACAACGGGTCAGCAACCTGTAGATCGCGATCAGGTGCCACTGATGGTAGATCGTGGCCTGGGCTTGCTGACCTGCTATCCCAGAGCATCAAACAGTGCAATGCAGAGAGACTACTTGTAAAGTTGTTGCTGTAGTAGGGAGCAAGAGCCGCATAAGCCGATCCCTCCTCCAGTGCTGGCTCCTGTCCCATGTGGAATGATTCCAGCTGCACTCCACCTCTGTTCCCGGCTAGCAGTCTCCAGAGTGGGCCAGCAGCAGGAAAGAAGAGATCTTCAGGTCAGTGTGAAGGAATACACTGGGCATATAGTAGTATAGGGCTGTTCTTACACATTGATGCACTGCGGTTTCCCCACACTGCGGGTGCAGTGCACCTGCAGCTTTCCTGTGAGTTTGCTGTGCTTTAGCCATAGACTTCTATTATGTCCTGCATGTTTGGTATGCTTTCAGAAAGTGCACCACACTTGCAGGATATAATAGAAATGTATAGCTCTAACGAGCAGGGCCCTCTGATTCCTCTTGTACCCAATTGCATTGTAACTGTAATGTCTGCCTTCATTTAGTAAAGCCCTGTGTAAACTGTTGGCGCTATATAAATCCTGTATAATAATATTACTATATCAAAACGCAGCTAACTTGGGAATGGTGCGGATGCTCTGGGCTACACCCGTGTTTCAGGTAAACCGCAGCATATCAGTGTAAAAGCAGCCTTATAGAGAGCTCAGAACAGTTTTACATTTGCAGTTTGAAGGGTTGTAAAGCCCCATAGTTAAGATGTGTTTTTACCACCACCCCGCCCCAAGCACACCCCCTTTAGCTGCAGTGGCCAGGGGTGTACATATGTCGCAGCTGCAGCAGGAGTTGTATGCCCTGTCATGGTTGGTAGGTGTAGCACCTGCCAAGCATGAACCATTCAAGTGGTTGAGGCCTCCTCATCCCCTGATTTGAATCCTTGATTGCCGTGAAATGCATGCGATTGTGAGACAGTAGTATAAAAAATAAAGGTTTAAATTGGTTGTGAGGAGGTGACACTGTACCCGGTGATCTATGACTTCTCCCATGTTGTTCAGGTAGATCTCCACCTCTTGACGGTTGCCTATCCTTGCTCTACAAGATTGATGGGAAGGCTGGAGTTAAACTCTAATGACCTTTTCACTCCAGACTTTTATTCACTCCTGCCATTTTCTGTCACTGTTTCCCCCCTTTTTGTCTTCCTTTCTGATCTGTCCGCTCCTCTCTGAATGACATAATAGCCTTTATCTAGTCGATTATATATATTTTATCTTCTCAGCTGGCCCTCCAGTCAGAGGTTAGTGGAGAGACTCACCTCCGTCCTGATAAGTGCAGCTCACAGCTCCTCTCCTCATTAAGGGGAGATAAGAGCAGCAGGAATAGAGCGGAGGAGGAGAACTGGGCATGATTACAAGTGCTGGTATAAGGTGCCGGAGGAGTGAACAGTTCCCAATTAATTTCAGCCATGATCAGCTTTTGTAACCATTAGGCTCAATACCTGAAACATCTGTAATAAACGTATTTTGTTTTGTTTTTTTCCATTAGTAATGCACACATATACACAACCAGTTAATTCGTAAAGTATTCACATTCCCTTCACTGCTTTCAATATTTGTTATGTTACTCAATACCCTCT